CCCCACTGCAGCGCGCCGCATTGGCGGGGAGGGGGCCTGGCTTCCTCAGCCTCTGTCGGCCTGGGCCCCAGGAAAGGAACAAGAGACCATGACATAGAATATCCTTCCTGCCCAAGCCTTAGCTGGGGTATAATTAGATCTGAGGAAAAGATAAAAAATAGCAATTTACAGAATTTAAAATAAYTCCCCTGCCCCACGCAAGAGGGAAGTCCGCAGCATGACAGGGAAGTGCAGCCTCTTTGACTAAGCAGCCACAGCCCCTCCACATGCTGCCACAGCCCAGGAAAGGCTTTTGCTGTTTTACAAGGAAGCTAAAAGTCCCCAAACGCATGATATTTGTACCCAGTTCTTCAGATTCTTCAGCCTATACTACTACTTACGCAAGCAGCAGCTTCTTCACAAATGTTCCAGGGCAGTATCATCCACCTGAGCTACCCTTGAGCACCAAACCCAGGAAATCCAGGCCTGTGGCTTGGCTTGTTGTCTACCCCAAGCAGAGCAGTAGCACYGCTTCCCTGCCCCACTTAGGCCACGCTCACAGAAACCAAAGGACCCCCAAGGATATTTTTTCAGGTCGTGAGATTTTTTCACCAGTTTTTACAGGAAGGTGGTTGGGACAGAGCAGCAGACAGCCTTAACCAGTTCCCTTACAAAACTCTTTCCGGCAAGGACAGGAGATCTGCAAAGACACAGAGCACGTTCCTCTGCATTCTTCTATCTCTTCCCTACTAACAGGGCATTCAGAGGAGAAGAACCAGTGAGCACGTAATGCGCAAGGCAAAGAGACCTCACGGGGCAGCACAGCACGYGAGTTGGTCTTGCTTGAAGTCATTAATTCACACATAAGTTTATATCCAACCACGTCTGAGCCTAAAAGAAAGGTGCTATTTAGAGCATCTTGCTTATTTGACCCTCTGCAGGTRTGTGGGAAGATATCAGCACCAAAAGTGGGGAAAAGAGGTGTGCACAGAAAGCACAAAGCAGAACGGGGGCCGTGCACATCTCCGTGCCCATCTGGTTAGACCTGGGCACGAGGCTGCTCCTCAGCTGCAGAGGAATTTGTCTCCACGCTCATTTAAGAATTAGCTGTGTGGAAAAGAACATGAATGGCACGCAGTACTGATATAACCTGCCATGAGCCAAAACTAAAAAGAAGGACTGGCTTAGGTGCCAGGCATGGGATTCATGCAYACAGAAAGAAGGAATTTCAGCGCAYGAGCAAGGAACCCTCCCCGCCTCCAGTTTATAAGTACGGACACGTTTAAAACTCACTTCTGAGTCAGTAGCTGATGAACTCTTATACAACACCAGATAACGTAAGGACAGCTCTGCTCATCTCTTGATAAGACCTGTATTTGACTATTAGGAAATGAAGCTGGAATTTTCTACAGATGATAAAAGAACCATATGAGTATTGCTCTGTCTTTATTTACATAACCAAAACCACTGCTTTAATAATATAGCAGCAGTTAAGCTTCAGACAACAAGGATTAATTCTAGAGCTAATTTTCGTTTGCTATTAAAAGCCCACTAATTATTAATTAGTCGCATCATTTGCATTAACTGGAGCAAAAACTAGAGAGAAAACTTATGTAAGGCTGATGAGTCAGTGGTTCTTGATGCAAGGGAAGGCAGTCTTTGGAATATTTCCTTCAGCAAAGGGGCAAAACAAGACCATGAATCTTGAAAAGACTTTCTCAAGTGATATAAAGTGCAGGGTATCATTCTTGCTCCCAGTAGAGAAGCACAAAAAAAAAAAAAAAAAAAGTGCATTTTGAGATCACAAACATCCTATTTGCACAACTACACAGCTCTGACTTACAGCTTCCATCCAGTGTGCACATCCAAGCCCACTTCAGTAAGAGAAACTCCTCCCGAGGTCTGAAGTGACGGACATTGCTGCTCACGGCCTCCGGACGCAACACGGCCTCGAGCAGCTTCGGAGGCTCTGCCACAGCCTGCCCCCACTCTAAACATTTTCTTGCATCCTATTGAAAAAAAAAATCCATTAAGAACTCTCCCTCTTTCCCTCCTTCTTGTTTTATTTATTTTTCCTCATATTTACAAAATGACAACTCAATTAAGCGTATCTCCAAAACATGCTGCCGATGAATTCAGCTACCACGATGGAAACAAAATCTTTGCACTCGGCAGCTCGGGCTCCCCGGTGTCTCTTGGGGGAGCGAGGGCTCCTGCTCTCCTTCCCCGTCCCACACACAGCCAGGAGAGGCCTAAGGCTAAAAGGCCYAACAGAAAGGGCCAGGGCCTTCCATGACCTCTCCCCACAGCCCAGAGCAGGGGACAGAGCAGATATTTTACATTTTTCAGGCCACCAGGGCTGCACAGTCCTCTGCCTTCTTCAGACTCTTCTTTAAATTACATTTGAGGCTCAAAGCCTATTCCTTGCAGAAAGGCAGCAAACCAATGGAAAAAAAATGCCTTAGGAATTAGATTGCTTTAAAGAGTCTTTGCAGGGAACCACGAGTCCGCCTTTGTTATGGTCTCAAACACATTATTTACTTCCAGAGTCCTCTCTCATATGCTCCTGTTCCTCCACAAGCCTCTAACAAAACAAGAATAAATGAACAAATACACAAGATGCAGGGCCGACGAAATGAATGTTAGACTCATTTCATGTCCATGTCATTCAATGTCAGCACAGCCTGTTGCTGGAAAAACTATCCTTGTACTGAAAAAATATACTATTTTTAACTTTGCTACCTCGAAATGTAATTTACTATCTTGAAATACCAAAAACAGATGGTTTGGATAGCCCACATGGTAGAATACAGCCGGCCCATTTTCCCAAGGAGGAAATTAGAGCCCCAGTTCCAAGGGGAGCACAGGTGGGATTAGATGTAGGACTCAYCAAGGAGAGAGGAGTAGCTCCAGAGTCACCTGACCTGCCAAAAAGAGGGAGGAAGAATCTAACCTGACATGTCCAAAACAATGGTAATTTCTCATCTCTTCCACTAAACCCAATGATGATTTGTCTGAAGATGGGAGCACCTCRGGGGAAGTCACAGAGCTTGACTAGACAGGCAAGTGACTAGGAGGTGAGCGAAAACAACCTTGGGGTTTTCCAGGTCAGAATATCCCCTGGGCTTCTTTAAGCACCATCAGTGGAGTTGAAGAAGCAGAAAGAATTCAGAAAGGAAAAAACATCTATGACAGAAATCTGCATCTTGTGCAATTCTGTTCATTTCCCGTCTAAAACCTGAACTAGACACAAACAAAGAACACACCTTCCAAAACACCATTACAAACACTAACAAAACCCCCATTACCTTTTTCCTAGCTACAACGCACTCAGTCCACAATTATTCAGTTTGCAGAAGCACTTTCAGAACACAGGGCCTTATATCCACCTGTATAAGAGGGTCCAACACAAAAACYTTCTGAAATTCTTTGCCATGAAGCAAAGCACATCACAGAAGAAAAGTCATTTCATGACCCTTACACTTGGTGCTTTGCACAGCTTCCCCATGATACCCCTATGCTAGTACTGACTTTAATCAGGCACTTAATGGGCGCAGCTGAGGTAAGCTCCAGGTGTCCACCAGCAGCACGACCAGCTCATGTTTTCCAGTCTAGCGATACCTGTTCTTCACCCTTACAGCACCGGTTCTGGGGGATATTTCTGTTTTACGAAAGTCTCATTTTTCCTTCTAACGCAGTACACTGCCACCCAGTACAGCTACAGAGCGCACTTTGAGCGCAYATGAAAACAGCAGACAAACATTACATTAGAACTGCCCGTGTCTTAGGGCAGGCGCTGGGCCCCTAAGCATTTGTCGCTATCAAAATGCTTCACGTACAGGTATATRGAGGCTCAAAGCCTGTAGTCAAGGCAATAAAGCCCCAAACTGGGGCAGCAGGGAGGACTGCCCATTGCAGAGGATCCCCATCACCCGTGCTGCACCGCAGCCCGTGGGGCTGAGCAGCAGGAGGGCACCTCAGTGCCAGGAGCCCTGAGCGAGGCACAGCCAGGGACTGCTTTGCRCCATTCTCTAGTGCCTCAGCACCCAGTTAAGCAGCTGCCCCTACGAGACAGAAATTCTCCTGGGAGAAGTTTCACACCTTGGGGTGAAAGAAGCCAGGGACTGGGTGCGACACGGCCGAGGAAAAGCCTCGCAGGCCCGAGGAGCTCGGCCTGTGCCGAGCCCATAGGCTCGAGCTCAAACGGCCCCGGCAGGGCGAGCGGGCAGCGAGGAAGGTCCCGGCGGCTCCTCAAGCCCGCGGGCCCGCAGCGGGGCGGCGCCGGTGCCGCCTCCCGCCCGCCCGGCCCGGCGCGGCCTCTCAAAAGCGCCGCGGGCCGCGCCGGGCCGGGCCCTGCGCGCAGCCGGGCTCGGGCGCTGCTGTCGCCGCCGCCGCAGGTAGGGGCTGGTTTGGACTGGTTTGGGCTGGGCTGGGCAGCGCAGCGCGGTGCGGTGCCGCGGGGCGCCCTTGGCGCTGCGGGCGGGCCGCGGGTAGACCTGGTCACCCGTCGTGTGGGAGCGTGGGGCGCCCCAAAGGCTGCGCCACGGAAAGTGGCCCTGAAAACCTCTGATTATGCCCCGATTTATGAGGACAGGAGGGAAATACAGAAGGGAAAAGGCTGGGGATTTTTATTTAGGATGATGGGACAGGTATTGTATGCTCTTCCTCGCATCCTTCTGGCTTTGTTCAGTACTGCTTCTTGAAAAAGGCTAGCGAAGCAAGGTGGCATGTCCATAACCAGGGACTCACGGACACAGCTAATGAAACTCTGTCTGCTTGCAAGTAAGCTAGGCTGCTTTCTGGAATTATGTTGAAGGCACTCATTTATATCACATAAAGTATTCTATAGTGATGAATTTTTATTTTTTTTTTTTATTATTTCTTCTCTCCAGGATGAGGATCCTTACTGGAAGACTCTGTTTCTACCTCATTTCTTTTTCATTCAGTATTTTATCCAGTACAGCAGATAGTCTGCAAGTTAGGAATCCAGCTCAAACGTTTTTCCAGTTTTACGACTACTCTTATTTCAACCTCTCTTCTGTATCGGAAGCACAAGCTCCAAAAACAGCCAGAGTTCTCAATTTCTCACATAACATGATTGAAAAAATCACCAAAAGAGACTTTGAAGGTTTTGATGCACTGGAAGTTTTAGATCTTGCCTACAATCAGATACACTACGCTGAACCTGGTGTGTTTGAGAATTTACTCAACCTTACTTCTGTGAATTTTTCATTTAATGGTAAGAAACTTGATGTACTGGGTCTTGCATCTCATCTAAAACTGCTACCAACTAACGAAGCCTCAGGGGTTTTACAGCTTTCCAAATGCTTTGAAGTATCATCGGAGACTGCTCTGGAGTCTCCTGCGTCAGCCCAAGAGCTGCAGCCTTCTGCAGGTCCAGCTGATCAGCTACCTGTTAACGTGAGAGTCAGGCGGAGTAATCGGCGTTCCCAGAGAGCAGCGGGGAATGTCACGGTCTCTCCAACAGCTGGACCAAGGCTCCATGCCTGTGGAACACCAATAAATGGAATTCTTGATTTGTCGGAGAGGAAACTGTCTGAGGAAGAGCTGGAGGAAAAACTGCAGGCTAATCTCTGCCAAGCTCAGCTGGATAGCATTGTAGAGCTTAACATTAGTSGCAACAACCTGGAAATGGACCTTTTATCACTGTTCATCTTGTTTTTACCAATGAAAAATGTACAGTCTATTGATGCTAGTTATAACAAAATAACCATCAACAACATTGATGTTGAAGCGATTTGTCGCTTCCCATTCCACAATCTCTTCTTTTTAAATATCAGCAACAATCCCTTGAATAACTTGGATACAATATGTCTCCCTTCAACCATTAAGGTAATTGATTTGTCCTTCACAAACATAAGTCAAATACCTAAAAATTTTGCTAAAAAACTGTTTAACCTGGAAAAAATGTATGTTGAGGGAAATCATTTCATATATACTGCAAGTCCAAAAGAGGCTGATGTCAATGAAAAACTTCCACCTGGAACTGTACGAATTAATGCAATTTCCTTAGTTAGAAATGATGCTGGCACACCCATTGAAAGCCTTCCAGAGAAAGTAAAACACTTACAAATGTCCAACTGCTCTATTGTAGAACTTCCAGAGTGGTTTGCTGGCACCGTGAGAGAATTAATGCTCTTGGATCTCAGCAGTAACCCAGTTTCCACATTTCCTCAGTTGCCTATCTCTGTGCAGCATCTGGACATAAGTAACAGTGATATTAAAGTAATACCACCTCGTTTTAAGTCCCTTTCTAACTTGGGAATAATTAATATTCAAAATAATAAGATTACAGATATGCCTCTTGAATATTTCCCGCTAACTTTAACAAAATGTGATATTAGTAAAAATAAATTGCAGGTTTTGTCATTCACTGAAACCCTAAAGAAACTTGAGTATCTTAATGTTTCTGGAAATCAAATAACCACCCTGGAACCAACGAAGCAACTTCCTGCAATGACTGCTCTAGACAGYAGTCACAATTTAATTGCACAACTACCCGATCGCTTTGGGGAAATCCTTCCAACATTGAAATACCTTAATTTATCAGGGAATAAGATCTCCTTCCTACAAAGCGGCTCTCTCCCGGTTTCTTTGGTTGAACTGGACATTAGCAACAACGCCATTACTACAGTAGTAGAGGACACTTTTGGCCAGCTTGCGAGCCTGACCGTTCTGACTGTTCAAGGTAAACATTTTTTTTGTAACTGTGATCTCTACTGGTTTGTGAATGTGTATATCCATAATCCCAACTTGCAGATAATCGGAAGAGAAAATCTCAGGTGTAGCTTTCCACCAGACAGAAGGGGGCTGCTGGTTGAGAACAGCAACCTGACGCTTTTGCATTGCTCCCTGGGCATTCAAATGGCCATCACRGCTTGCGTGGCCGTCCTCGTGGTCTCGGTGCTAACGGGCTTATGCTGGCACTTTGATGGACTCTGGTACGTGAGAATGGGCTGGTACTGGTGCATGGCAAAAAGAAAGGAGTATGAGAAGAGGCCAGAAAACAAGCTATATGATGCCTTCATTTCGTACAGCAACGAGGATGCAGAYTGGACAAAAGAGAACCTGCTGGAAAAACTGGAAGCTAAGGGGTTCAAGGTATGTTACCATGAGAGAGACTTTATACCAGGGCATCCTGTGCTTGGCAACATCTTCTACTGTATAGAAAACAGCCATAAGGTCATCTTTGTTCTGTCTCCCAGCTTTGTAAACAGTTGCTGGTGTCAGTATGAGCTGTATTTTGCTGAGCACCGGGTCCTGAATGAAAATCAAGATTCCCTCATTATGATTGTGTTGGAAGAACTGCCTTTCAACAGCGTGCCCCAGAAGTTCAGCAAACTCAGGAAGCTCCTGAAAAGAAAAACCTACTTGAAGTGGAGCCCTGAACAACCCAAACAAAAAGTTTTCTGGCATCAGCTAACAACTGTTCTGAAAACAGCCAATGAACCACTTGTTGTGAGAGCAGAAAATGGATCCGCTAACAATATGTATGAGATGGAATGAGGTTACAAGAATTTCTGTGACTGTGCCTGGAAAGTCAGCAGGCAAATAAAAGCATTTCAGTGTTTGGTTTCTGCAAAGCCTCCTCTGTTGAATGTGGGGGGTGGTCACAGCAGATCTATCCCATGAGAAGTTATTAATTAGATTGCAGCATGCATGTTATTCCACCTGAGGTGGGGGGGGGGGGGACTGTTTTCTGAAGAGCTGAGCCCTAAACACAATATCTTACCAAGATTCAAACTCCAACTACTCCCCACAACCAAGCTGATCTCCAGCTGCCCACACATCCGGTGCATATATAATGCTGGTAATGYTCTCCTCAGCCTCACTTCCATTAACCCCCACAAAGATGAGAGGTGGAAAGCAGTGCTCACTTTGTCTAGGACAGTACTGCACGTGGGACAGCAGCCACTGCCAGAAACTTCAAGAGAAGTTAACAGTAAACACATGCTGGATAATCTGTTCCATCCTGAGGAGTTCACCTTAATCCCAGAAAACAAGCAAAAGATTGTTTTAATTTCAAATCAATTGTACGATTTCATATCCCTTTTACAATGTGTTGGCATTAACTATCCAGCTCCTACAATATTCCTACTACTCACATAAATGTAAAGYACCAGCTGAATCTGACCAGCTTTCTCTCTCCACAGCTCTGCAGCAATGAGTTCCCCCCTGTAAGGACAGGATGCAAGAAAGATACATTTTATCAGTCTTGAATTTGCCCTCTTTCATACTCACCCAAGGCTTTCTTGTTTTGGGGTTATGAATTGGACTCCCATTAWCTTCAAGCCTCCTTCTTCTAAACCACTCACTAGTCACGTACTTTTATCACTGACTCATTCATCTCTCTTCATATAAAAATTGCCATCTCTTTCCTCAATCATTCTGTTGCTCCTTGTCTTAATTAGATTGACTTTTTTTAAAACCTTGCAATCATGCTTTACGTTGTATCAGCTCTGTACTCAGTAGAAGACAGTTCTGCTACTGGAGAAAAAAAAAAGATAAACTGTAAAAGATTCCAAAGCAGGTCAATTTTACCTTGTGATAACTGATTCTTCAGTTTATGATTCACTTCCATGAAATTGTGGCTACCTCTTTTTAAAAGCCAATCTCCATTCTACTTGCTACATTCATAAACCCCCTCAAAAAAGCAGTTATTTAATACAATTGGCAAATTAATTCAGACACTGCTCTCATATCTGACGCTACAAGCAGCACATTAACACTTTAGAGGTACCGGAACAYGATCTGCCCCAACGGTTAAGAGTGGAGAAACATTGCAGAACCCTTTAAAGGGGCTTCAAGTTCCTCTCTTTCACAAGACCAGTAACAACCCTCTCTATTCCAAAGCCATTCCCGTCTCACTGCACTCCCACTTGAATTCCCGTTGCCAATTATTTTTGTGGATAGGCTGAAAAAGATTTCAGTTCTCATCCGATGAGGCTTGTGCACAGCATGGAGTCATGGCAGCATGAGAGATTCAGCACTAAAAAGAAAAGCAAAGACATAAAAACAAACAAACAAAACCCCATGAGAGATCTTTTAGTTACTTTTATAATTATTTTAGAAAGAACCATGTTATTCACAGACAAAAATACCTGGGTGGAGAGATGGAGGGTGGGTGGGTCATTGAAATGATTTCCATTTTACATTTGTATCAGAAAGTTGTTCACATACATTTTATTGCAAGAAAGCTGTCTTGAATTATTCAAAATTAATTAAAATTCAGTGTATTAAACAACATTGGTCAAAAGTGTAATACTCTTTCAGGAAAAACTTTAAAACAGTTAACAAACTACCTAAACCACCAACAGTTCACATAGTGCTATGACTCAAATGGGATTTGCTTCTGAACTAATAAATCATCTTTTTGGAATCCAAAACTTTTTGGAATCCATCACTGCAACCCTGCTAAAGATGTGGTATCTTCCTAAAATGGGGCACCTAGCTCCACATTCAGGCACCCAAGTCAGCAGCACAATTATTTCAGATACTGAAGTCCACAGAAGTAGAGGASTGATTATGTGCGTCGAAAAAATTGGCCACTTAAAATACGTATTGTTAGGAATTTAAAAATTTGCCTCCAACTCATTGTTTCATTAGGAATTTTCAACACCACATGACACCATCAACATAAATTGTCACATTTATATATAAAAAACAGTATTATCAGCATGTTGATGAGCAGATGTAGACAAATTATTAATTTGTCTTTAGAAAATCAAGTTGTCATTAGAATTATATTTTTTTCACATTTAACTACATAAAAAATCTGAAAAAGTGTAGCCAYTTTGTTACTTGATCATCCTGTTTCTACACATGCTAATAGCCGCAACTCTTCCTCTTAGAAATACCGCCACTGAATCCCTGCAAATCCACCTTTCAATCCACTATAAAGTCACACACAGAAAAYAACCTGCAGCACTCCCCGTTTTATTACAAAATTCCAGTGGTGACTGCATTACTAATAYGTCAGTACTAGAATACTGCAGTAATAATTTGGATTCTCAAATAAGTATTGCACAGTTATTTGTATCAGCTGAAAAAATATTTTTCAAAATATTCTGGGGTATATAATGGCACCAATTCTTAAAATAAATGTACAGCAGAAATTAAGAGACATTTTAAAGGTTTATTACAGTGCCAGAACGCCTCTCAAAAGTCCTTCCCTATTAGCAGTATATTGCTATTGGTAAATAGCCTAGTCCTGCTTTAGCAAGCTCTGGTCGGAACAATAACTGAAAGGTGAGGTTGACCTAAATTTTGCTATTTACCTCAATGAAATCAGAATTGTATCCTGGGATACAGAAAACTTTTGCTATTAAAATTATTAATTTTGTTATTATTTTGCTATTACTTTTGTTATCACTTGCTAAAACAAAAATAATGTTATTGTTTCAAAATAATAAGTCTTTCAAACTCCTGCAATGAAAACTGGTTTAAATTTAAGTATCGTAATACCTAGTGTCCTCCACCTTTTTCTTTCTTGAAAACGTAGCAAGCCCACAGTGTACCAGCTACTAGGTCCTTCTCTGAGAGTTTGCCTCATGACAAAATGAATCACGTGCTTTTATGCTCTCACATTACAACTCTGAAAACAAATCTAAAATAGGCCCTTTAGGACTTGCCACACTCTTTCAAGAAAGTATCACGGAAGCAACATCCTAGGATTTACTTCAAATGCAAGTAGCTGGATATTAACACTAATGGTATTTTTCCACTGGCAGCCGCAGGGCCACACCGCAGCTCTGAGTTCAGAATAATCGTTCAGAAATGCACAGAAGGGGACCCACTAACTGGGCAGGTTTTTCTCGGGCGAGCTCCAGGTTAGACGGAGGGCAYGGGTATCTGCTTGGTGGGAGCACCGTGGCACTCCCGCGGCAGGTCGCTCGTGGCGTGATAATGCAGGGCAGTGTAGGAYTTGGCGAAGGCGAAGGCCGAGCTCGCTGGCTGGAGGCTGTTGGGGGTGCTCACCTCCGGGGACGGGCTGCTGTTATAGATGCTGTAGTAGGGCTCGATGCGCGTGTTCATGGGCGTCGAGCTGCTCTGCGCGTAGTGCTGGGGCCCGGCAGAGCCCTTGGGGCTCAGCACGCTCTCCTTGGAGTGACTGGGACCGCACGCCTGGTCCACAAACTTTTTCTGGGGTTTTGGGGACAACACATAAGCTGAATTGGTTTCGTGGTGGGATGACTTATTCCTGTTGACCTCCAGGCTCCCTTTGCCCATGGCTCGAAGCCTTGTCTTCTGCTTGCAGCAGAAAAACACCAGGGCCACGTACTGCAGGCACCAGAGGACTCGCCTTCGGAGCCCGGCACTGTTGCGCGAGTATATGAAAGGATTTAACCCAGACTTGAAAAATATGAGCGTGAACCCACACAGCTCAAACTGGTAGAGCACGAAGCCCCCGCTGCTGGAGAGCGTGTCCTGCACCAAGGAGATGCCCAGTGGGAGACAGCAAACCAGCACAGAGAGCACGATGACCACGCAGGTCACCACGGCCCGGGAGTCCTTAGCMGCAGCCAGGTTGAGGGCGGGCACGAGCTGGAGCTGCAGCCCGGCGGCGGGGCCCGGCAGCAGCCGCGGGGGCTGCCCGCGGCCGTGGGTGCGCGGGGGCTGTGCCTGGCTCCTGTACAGGGCAGGCCCGGCGGCCGCGGCGAAGGGCTGCGGCCGGGGGGTACCCGCTGCCGCTGCCACCACCGCGGGGGGACACTTCCTCACGCGGGCGTTCCTGCGCAGGGCCCGCGCGATCATGACGTAGGAGACGGACACCACCGCCACGCAGCAGATGAAGTCAAGCACGTAGAGGTAGAGGACGACGCGCCCGTCGCCGCTGGCGAAGCTGGACATGGGGAGGCAGAGGTGTGAGCGGCGCGTCTTGAGCGTGGCCAGGGTGGCCAGGGTGAAGCTGGTGGCCCACAGGAGCAGYGTGAGGAGCAGGGTGCAGGGGAAGGAAGCCGTGCGGTGGGGCTGCTTGCCCAGCACCATGCGCAGCCGGTGCAGGGCGATCACGGCCACCGTCTTGAGCGACATGATGATGAAGCCGGAGCCGGCGAGGTGGAAGGCGAAGCAGAAGGTGCCGGGGACGCCCCTGGCTGAGCCGAAGAAGAGCACGAAGGCGAACATGGGGGCGGCCACGCCGCAGAGGAACAGGTCGCAGAAGGAGAGGTTGAGGACCATGAAGTCGAAGTTGGTCCTGAACTTGCGGAGGGCCGGGTCGAAGAAGGACAAGAAGACGATGAGGTTGCCGTAGGAGCCGAGGCAGAAGACGGGCGCCAGCAGGCAGGCGCACGCCACGAGCGTGGCCGTGTGCGCGGCCTCCCGCGGCTCCGCGCCGCCCTCCGCGCCCAGCGGCGGCAGCGGGGCCCTCCCCGCCAGCCGCGCCGACGCGTTCAT